GGAGGTTAAAGGCTCGCGCAGGCTGTTTTGCGTTTTTCTTTTTTGTTCTTTTTTGTTTGGTGTGTTGTCATGTTCTCTATCCACAACTCCACCCACGTGGCGCTATCGGACTATTCACTGACTCCTCAGGGGATTGACAGGTTAGGGGGGCAGAGGGGGAGGCGGGGCTAGGGAAAGGTCGGGGTGGAGTAAAGGGTTCCAAGTTCGAAGTCAAGGGGGGAAGAACGAGAGAGAGAGAGAGAGAGAGAGAGAGAGAGAGAGAGAGAGAGAGAGAGAGAGAGAGAGAGAGAGAGAGAGAGAAAAGGGGGGGGACTGTGTCAAGCTGTCCATTATGCGACTCTGACACGTGCTACGCTTCTTTTTTGCCTTGTGCCTTCCTGGAAATGTTCCAAGATGCACGCCCAGCATTATGGCTCTCATGGCAATGCTACTCCCAACAAGTCCCCCACCCGAAGAGCAACTGCCAAGCAGATTGAATGCTGATTGTTTCATTCATACAATGCAAAACCTGCTTAACATCAGTGGCACTCCTGTCCTGTAGTTGGAGACGCCTTCCAACAACTTCCCCGGGCCAATCATCACTGACATCATCGGAGCCCACCAAACTGAGACTGACCCACATGCACATGCACTTGGACACAGCGTCAAAAATCAACAAGTTAGCACGGGGCATACATGCAAGATCGCTTGATCACAAACATATTCAGAGAACACAGAAAACAAAGTCTGATTCTGAATCTTTACCAAAAACATCCATGGGATGACGGACTGGATTTTCTCAGAAAAGTCCAGAGTTCTTGCACAGCACAAAACGAAAACGATGCTGCAAAGGTAACGGCTCCCCAAACAAAACACGCAAAGATAAAGAAAAAAGAATGTTCGGTGGTATTCCCTGCTATTTTCTTGCACGTGGGTTTTCGTCTGCTCTCAGGCTCTTCTTTTTCTTATTGTGAAAGAAGCGGCATGTGATAGGGCAGTTCCTTATGCATTTTCTTTCTTTTGTGCTTTTTTCTTTTTCTGTTTTTGCGGGCGAAGCCGCAACGGGTCATCTAATGTACTGCTCTCTGTCAACGTTGCCTCTGGTCCATTCCTCCCTGCCTGCTGTGCCACCTTCAGATCCACACCTCTTCTGTCTCTACGGTTTCTTCATCATTTTTTGGTATCTTTGTAACGAACCCAGTCTCGTCGTCCAATCATGTCGCAGATAACAATGTCGTGCAATGTCGTGAGATAATCAATCCAATAAGTCCATCAGTTCGAAATCATTGAAGTACATGTTTCCTCATTATCACATGTTTGTCTCAAAAGTCCACATCATCCAGAAAAGTACAGGAGGGGAGAATAGACAGCTGAAAGAGGAAGTGTAATGCCCTCTTCTACTTCAGGCTCCCCACCATGACTGCTGTCCGTGGCCCCTTCCTGTGTGCCTCTGTCTTTCTGTCTTTATACCCATCTTTGCTCCCCTCTCCCCTGCTCTTCTACTCTCTTCCCTCTTCACTTGCCTCCCCTGCTGTTTCCTGTTCTTGGCTTCCCTTGCTGATGTCGCCACTTGTCTCCCTGGGATTCTCCAATGTTCTGATAGGTAGTAGGGGACTAAGACCGAAGGACCGCCGCCTGGCGGCACCTATGGTCGCCTCTTCAATCTCTCCATGCAGCATATGGAGAAAACTTGTAGGCCCTACATATTGAATCTGAACTTCATGTCCTTCCAGGTGGCCGAATGCCAGTGAATGGTACATTGGCATGTAACTGTTGATGAATGCTTCAAGAGTTCTTGCGTCAGTACATTGCCATGTCACTGTTGATGAACGCTTCAATCCCATATGATGATACAACACTATTAGGGGTTACCCCTTTCTAGTGTTCTCAAGAAATCTGGGTGAATGGTACAGGTTTCTTGCGTCAGTACAGGTCGTCTGCTCGCTCATCTTCATTTTGGATAGCTCCTCTAGCTGTGGGGCAGAGCATCATGGTGGAGTGTCGGTACTCTGTGCCGAACACTTCTGTATCTAGATAGAGGCACAGTAGTTGCTCTTGGCTGTGAACATGGATGTCTCTGTCAGAGTGACTTTACCATGCTGTCGATTCTGCAGTCAACAGAGTCGACAGCTCCAGAAGACTGCCCCTCCTTTCCTCGTTCTATGTGCGCTCTCTGCAGTGAGATATGCAAAGTGAGCTGTTTTAGTTCATAGTTATGTGACAATATATATGCGCTTCGTTGCTCAGCTGCGATGCTCCTTGTTATTCTGTCCCTGCTTGTTGCAATGCATACAATTTGTCATTACTGTTTTTGCGGGGGAATAGTTGGTGCTGTCCGTTTGGATCACAGTTGTTTTGAGAATGCCCTGCTTGGTTTGGCCTGTCATCGTTTGTGTTACCTTTTGCCGTGACAGCACCTCCTGTCGTCAAGTTCTTGCTAACCCTTGACTCGTGCACTTACCCTCATCATTTTATTGTTTAACACATTGGTGTAGACTTCCTGCTCAACTTCATGCATGGAAAACCTCGCACCTTGGACAAAAGATAACAAGCAAGTAAAAGGAAAATGAAAAGCAAATGGACAACCAACAAGCCTATCTCAGTTGGTACACCCATGAACTGCTGAATTACAGACCCAAGTTTGAATCTTTATGGATGTTGATGAATGCAATGAAATAATCCTGATTACCTGGGACCTGTCAAGTCGATGATGAAATCTCAAGACCGTCGCCCTTTTTTTTGTTTTGTTTTAATTCGGAGCATTTCTCGGTTTATGTGTCATCCTTGCACAGGGGCCATGCCAATCTTCTCTGTATCGTTCCAATTCTAACTGATGCCCCGAAGGACCCTTTTTTCTTTAAAAAAAAAAAACAAAAGCAAAAATGAACAGAAAGTCTCACAATGCCTTGCATTTTTCATTTCTTTTTCTTTCCCTGGCTGTCTGCTACATTTCCCACATTCAGTTTGCAAATGTGCTTCTGGTTCATGGGAGTTTATATTAATGTCCCTAGCGGGTTTTTCTCATATGCCCTGCTTATCGCCTGACTTCTGCTGTGCTTCGGTAGCCGCATCGGAACCTAGAATTTATTCCTGGCATACGGTGAGAAGGTTGTCTCAGGACCTGTGGCTGACCGCCCGGCGATTATGCATAAGGTGCACATCAAGTGCATACGTCTCCCGCTGAAGAAAAGGCTGTCAATCCTGTCATCGAACAGACAGTTTCCATGTAGAAGTGCATGGACTTGCACAGCCTCCGAAAGCACTTGAAACAACCTGCGCTCTGGATGCAGCGCTGCGTCTGCCAACCACAGATTGTCTATCTGGGTTGAGTGCGGGGCAACATCAGCTTCTCCTATCGGCAAGCACTGAGAAAGTTGTTTTGCTAGGAAAGATTCTGCTCGTCAGCTGAGTCTTCCCACCATAGAAGCCCCTCCCCACTAAACTGCAAAACTCGATCTCTTTAGTCAACATCCACAGGATGATGATGCTCAGCCTCACCGTGCTCTTGAAACCATAGCAAGCATGCCAAAGCAATGCAGTTCCAGGTTGCCAATCAAGCAAGCATTTGGTCATGTTGCTTTTCAACCAGTCGGTCTCAATTTCATGAGCTTCATCCCCCGGGAGTGTAAAGCTTGTTTGCAGAGCACACAATGTTCGTCAGGCCATGAAGAGTGAAGCTGAGGCTGTGGGTGAATAGCACAAGGAGTGGAAACAAGTTGGGAAGTGCACATTCGACCTGTCTTGGCATAGGTGTGCTGTCGATGATGATGCCGATCACAGTGCACTTAGGAATTTGATATTTAATTGAAATCAAGATTGAAATGAAAAAAAATCATTTAAGTTACACCCCTTTCAGCCCCGCTTATAACCCCCCTTCCCATCTTCCCCCCGCCACCTGCTCCCGCCCCCAACCCAACCCAAGACACTGGAAAACAAAAAAGAGCTCAGATTTGGGCTTATCTCGGTGGGTGTAGAAATGCCCCACGGGGGATCATAAAAAAAAAACGAAAACCCTCAGGTTTTGAACTAGCCAACGTGGCCTGGCCTTTTGCCTCCCTGTATGGCCTGGCTGGGGGGTCCCAGGTAACCGGGCTGCTGGATGTAAAAAGGGGCGGCACTACAATGCTCTCATGAACTGTAGAGTGCAGCTTAAAATGGGAAAGCAAGAAGGCAAGGAGGGGACTCTACAACAGCCCATGTGTCAGTTATCGACAGGGTAACCATACTATTTGAAAATGGAATGATCCCGCTACAATTGCTCATCCACAGGGTTTGTGCACCATCTTCATCAGCATGCAGTAAGAGACTGAAGCCATCCACAAGGCACCTAATTATGATGGATCTGATCGGCATGCGGCACCACCTGTATTAACAAACAGGAGGCGATGTCAAACTTCCATTTCTGGCAATATATCAGCTGCATACACACGGCGGTATGCTCATGGCTGCTTGTTTCTGGTTGTTGGCAGAGGTCTCCTATGGTGTGTATGCACTTGTGTGCAAGCAGAACTGCAGTTGAAAGAGTTGTATTGCACTTGGGAGATGGTGGTGATCCGGTCTGACTTTTGGATTCGTTTGATGTGACCTGTTGTGTTCTTCGGGAATTCTGCATGCATACTTTAGGGGTCCTCAAATGGGAAGCAAAGGTCGTGTCATGATGGTGGTCGAGGAAAACCGGAGCAAAGTCGGTGTGAGGTTTGACAAACCGGTTTGTGGAGGGCATAGTTTAGCTGACCTCTGTGAAGAAGGCCACGGCTTCTTCTGCAACGGTGAGTTATTTACTTTCCAAGTCCAATGTGTATGACCATGCACTTTTCAGGCTTGCAGTGGCAGTCAAATTATCTGTGCCTTCTAATGCATGCTCTTGTATCAGAGCGATAGGGAGAGAGAGGGGGGTGGGGGGAGTGAAAAAGGGAGGAGAACAGGGGGGAGAGAGAGAGAGAGAGAGAGAGAGAGAGAGAGAGAGAGAGAGAGAG